GTTTCCATTGCTTTACAGTGAATACGTATTTTTTTAAAATAGGAAACCTGTCATTAGCTTAAAATTGCTTATCAATTTGTCTGCTCTGAATCAAAAAACTTTTATAGGAAACATACCGCAACAGCTCAAAATATTTTAGGTCTTTTATAATCGGATAGTGCACACATTGCTCAAGACTTCGCAACTTGAAATCTTTTAATAATCTTTTTGCATTTATTCATACCTTTATTGAATAGTCTTAGAATAAAACTTCAGTGAATAAACTATAAGAAAAACCGACGATTTGTCGCCTGGTAATAAATAGAAGTATCAGGTTCAAAAATATCTCGCTCCGCCCTATTTTTTAATTTTGCTGATTAGTCCAAAATAAATTGACTAAAGGTGTCTTTAATATTTCCGCAAAAGTTTTCATTTCTGTAATTGAAGCGCAACACCTTCTCGAATGGGCTCCTGCCTTTGGACAGAAGTCTAGGTAAGTAACTCTCAGGGCCTCTTTCTTCTTGTAACTTAATTATAAAGTGGAAATGAAATATCTTATTTTCAAGAAGTTTCTATGGTTTTGACGACGGCAATCAAGGAACGCCAGAACCGAGCAACTCAGTGCACTTGCATTACTTTTTTTTTCTTTACCGTCAATGCACGACTTGGAAGCAAATTTCAGGAACTTTTTTTTCTTTTTCTGAACTTGGAAATGGCTCTTGGGAGCTAGTTCAACGTACCACAGGAGAGTTCGAGTACATTTGACAAAGAGAGGGAGTTGGTATAATCGAGCTGAAGTTTAGAATTATGTGAAGCTAATTCTTAAATAACTTTTTCCCTGCCGTCGGGAGCTGACATGCCAATTAATTAAGGATTTAATTCAAGAAATATTTAGATACCTGTCTCCCTCTGTGGTGCAATGAAAGTACAGGATCGAAAATTCTCAAGGAATTTTAAGTGCACTAGTCGCCAGTTAAAAACTAAGAGGGATAAATATTTTTTAGTTAACTATAGTTAACTAAAAGTTAAAAGTTTATTTACAAACGGCATAATGAGATAAAGCGTTTGAGAGCGTATATCAAGAAATGCAAACAAAGAAGCCGAAATATATTTCAGGTATTTTCAACATTGAGCCGAAAACCATATTCAGTAGTCGTTTTCTTCCGAGAGTCTTCAGAGTAAAACACCTGGAGTATCTGGAGTAAAATAACTCATATTAAAAATGAATTTGGAAGGTAAAATATTGCGAATTTTAATAACTTTTTATTTAGCCTTCAGCAACTTTCAGCCAAAAATTATGACCTCTTGAAGCTAATCCTGTTTACTTGTAGTGACAAATATTATTTAGCTCAAACGAAAACAAACCCCCATCGCACCTTAAGTCAGTACGAGAGCTCTGGGGGGGGGGGGGGGGGGGGGGGGGGGGGGG